AGAAGGATTTGGGAGTCCTGATGAACAGAAAGCTGAACATGAGCCAGCAGTGTGTACCTGGAAGGCCAACTTCTGGGCTGCATCAGAAAAGAAGTAGCCAGCAGGGTGAGGGAGGTTATTATCCTCTTCTGTTCTGCCCTCTTGAGACCCAATCTGGAGTACTGTGGCTCCCACTACAAGAAGGATGTTTGAATGGGTCTAGGAAGGGCTGCAGAGATGATCAGAGGGCTCAACCACCTCTCCTATGAAGAAAAGTAGAAGGAGTTAGGCTTGTTTAGCTTGGAGAAGAGAGTGCTCTGGGGAGACCTCAGTACCTTCAGTACTTGAAGTGAACTAACAAGCAGGAACTGATTTTTTACATGGTCTGGATGGATAGGACAAGGTGAAATGTATTTAAACTAAAAGAGGGCAGTTTCAGGTTAGATTTCAGGAACAATTTTTTTACTCAGAGTGTGGTGAGAGACTGCAACAGTTTGCCCAGAGAAATTGTGAATGCCCCATTTCTGGAGGCACTCAAGGCTATGTAGGATGGGATCCTAGGCAGCCTGATCTAGTGGTTAGCAACCCTTCCCCTTGTAGAAGGGTTTGAACTAGGTGATCTTTAAGGACTCCTCCAAACTAAGCCACTCTGTGATAAATGTACTTACTTGTTTTGGTAATTGCATTCTACTGTATTCCTTTGCTGTTTTAATCAGATGTATAGATTTTATACTGCTGTATTCTATTCAGCAAAAGGTTAAATCATCCTGTAGCTATTTTATCAGCTGTGACCTCCAAAGTGAAAGCTATGCAGAGACAGTAAATAGCTTACTGAATAATAGACCAGACTGACTTTGGTAATTGAATAGCTCTCTAATGTGGAAAATACCTTCAGAAAAAAAATTACATGCTACTTAAACTACTGTTTGTTTATTTCTCTTTATTAGCTCCTGAAAATAGCTTCAGATGTTGAAGTGATTCTCAGAACTTCTGTTATTCAGGCAGTTCACACAGATTCCAACAAAATATGTGAGTAGAGCTGCATGCTTAAGGATGTTTTGAATTTTTTTTTAATTTTTTTTTTTTTTTGATGGGAGCTATCAGAAGAGAAGCTCAAACTACCTTTAATGACCTCAATGTAAAAAGGAAGTTATACTTGGTATCCTAACCATTAGCTTGCATGCACTGGTTAACCGGTCTGTGTATGTATGAATGAATTAGCTACAATATCTGCAGGCTCTTGCTATAACATACAGGTAGAAGTTGCCTGAGAAGAATTAACAAATGCAATCTCTATGATGCCTTCCAACAGCATTTTCTTTGAAATACTGTTTTCTATCCAAAACCTTGTTCTGACTGTTAAAGTTTCAGGTGGTGCCTTGGAATATTTGCCACATGATGACAGCCTTGATGCAGAGCCTATCAGATTCTGAAATCTCGGCTCCTGGCTTGGAAATTTCCTTGTAGGAAGAGAAATAATTAGTTCATCTTGCAGCCTCGTGGTAGGATATAGAAGAAATCTTCAGCTGCATACATCATTTCCTTTCACTTCTGCTTAGATTCTTAGTGTAAATCTTCTTATATACTTCCAAGTTTTGGGTTTGGTAAAGCATTTAACATTAGGACAGCCATAATGATTGAGGCCAGAGATTTGTCTAGACTGTACTGGCTGTAAATCTCTGTTGTGTAGAAATCTAGGCAGATGACAATAGAAGAGTAGGAACAGAGGAAATGTGCTTTGCTGTCTTCCATCTGTTTAACTGTTCACTTCCTGAGCCAGGAGCAGTTTCTGTTTTAGTTATCCTCAATGAATTTCTCTTGTGTTTCCTCCTGTCATCCACTCAGGTGGATTCAGGTGCTTTTGACAGAGAATTTAATATGTTTTATAAAAGAATAATTTGCTGTGGTCTTGCTTATCAATTGCTATCCATTTTTGCCAAGCTGCTCTTGAGTTTTTAAGACCTTAGTTGCCTCTGTCTTGCTTTCTTCATCTATGGTAAAGCTTATCTCTGAAACAGCAGCTGAATGTCTGTCATCATTGTGTTTATTCTATGCTGTTCTCAGTTCTCAGTTATACTATGTTTTTTTCAGATGAAGGCATCAGGGCTAAGTGTAGTCATCAGACTATGGGCAAACCACGAGTTTTTGGCTGCTGTGTGCATACATGTATTTATTTTTACAAACTTACCTTGGATTCATTTAAATCATTTAGATAATCATAGTAATTAAAGCAATTTAAAAAAATAAAAAATTAAAAGAGGAGAGGAAAAGAAGAAGCTAAGCAAAATGTTACAGAAGCTTATTGCTGCAGAATTGTCCTTAAGTGAGTTACTGTCAGAATCTTTAGTACATTTTTTTCTATTTTAGCTGACAATATATGATTTAGTTTCATCTGCTGTTGTTACTTCTCTGCAGTCCTGCCTCTCAGCCTTAGACAATGAGAAGAAATATTGGTATGAAGACCTTTTTTCCTAATCAGATGAAATTATTGTGTTGTCTTAATTCCAGAACCAATGCACAGGGCCATATTATTCTTTATAAAGAGAATTTGGGAATGCTGTGTATAGTTATGTTTAGATTTACCAGTAAATTAGTTTAGAAAAGAAAGACTGAGCTTTTCTTACTAACGAGAAAACATTTTCATTTTGGAGTTTGTTAGCCACAGTAAACATTTTTCTTTTTTTTTTTTTTTTTTTTTTTTTTCAGATTCAGTATGAGTTAGGTTACTCAGCAGCAGACAAATATCCTTTATTTTATTTATTTCCCTGTCTTTCAAATTAAACTAGTGCAAGTAAAACTTAAACTTTAGTAGTGCTCCATACACACAGTATGTTTTGATTGTTTTGATTTGCTGTGTGTATAGATATGTTCAAAACTTAGCTTCTTGAACAGAAGTTTAAAAGTTCTTTCATCTTTATCTGTTTGTACTTGGTATTTTTCAATATTTTGAAATTTTTGTTAATTCTGTCTTTTGCATTTCTATTTCATGTATCTGTTCCAAGTGTGTATATGAATGTGACTTGTCATAAGTTTAATTATCAATTTTTTCTCTGTAAGAGAAAGGGAATTGAAATTTTGTTTCAAGATCTTAGAAATTTATTAAATGCATTGCTGCCAGTCCACAGAGGCAGAAGTAAGATAACCTCAAGGAAATCATTTTTCCTTCTCATGGTTTGTGGGATATCAGTGTACTCTGGACCAAATGTTTTTTTTTGCACTTACAGATACACACCCATATTTGTAGGTTTGATATTATTTTAGAAGGTGTCTGACTTGGTCCAAGTGTTTGTGCTTTATTTTGTACTGCTTGAGCAAATCTGACATGACACAGCTCTTCCCCTTCATGGCAAGGGACAGGTTGATTTCTGAGGAGCTAGATGCAAGAGTTTAGTAAGGAATGGGTTAAAGTGATACATAATTAGGCAAACCCCAGCTTTATGGAGTTGTATGAGGATATAGCAGTCAGAATTTCCAATTGATGCTTTCTTTTTTGTTGGCATTTAAAGCACGTAAGAAGATGAATATTTTACAGATTAGATTTCATCAGGAGGCTGGAATAGAAGGCTATACCAAATTTAACATTATGTTGGGAACTGTTGAAGTAAACAATCTGGCTTTGGACTTACTGACTGACTCAACTTACTGTTCTCTCTTGTGCTAAATGTTACTGCAATTCTTTGCCATTTTTTTAATGAATCACTAATACTATTAAAATATTTTCAAATATTTTTTCTTAAAAGCAAAAAGATCAAAAATGTTCTTCCAAAAGAAGGTAAAGTCATAAAATCAATATAACGTTGTACTGAGTTGGTAACATGATGCTGCTTGTTTGCTCACCATAAACTTAGATTCTTGTTTGACTGACCTGATTTTTTGTTTTTAAATGTAAAAACAATTTTATCATTTTAAGTAGTATTTGCCGTAAGATGACATTCTTAATAGTTTGTTGTTTTTTTTTTCTTTTGCAGTGCTCTTACCCAGGAAGGATCTGCTACAAGACAATATTCCTTACTTTGATAAACCAACAAAAAAGCATGAATCCTGAGAAGAGTGTGCTCTTCTTCACAGTATGTTAAAAGCTGGTACTGGAAACTCTGAAAAACAGTAGTGTGTGCCCATCTTGTTTTCCAAATTTTAATTTAATGCCAAGAAAATGTGGACTGAAACCAGTTTTGTTTGTTATGATATCACCATGGACTTCCTTTGAGGAAGATGGTACTGTATCCACAGAAACTTGAGATACATGATTTCCTTGAAAAATAAAGTGTGTAAATATATGTACTGCTGAACTTCAGAGAGCAGTATCAGATACAGTCTAGAATTTTGACAAACTAAACGCAAGTGAATTGCAGCTCTTAATTCTGATAACATGACATTATATACTGCTTTGAAATAACTGAAAACCATGTTGTAAAACTTATCATTGAATTTATGCTTCACATCAAAAAGCTTGAATTCTTAAGTTATTAACTTTATGCTAAAATACTGTAGTGTTTGAGAAAGTTCTTAAGGCTTGTCTGAATAAATTATTCAGGTGTTACAGAAAGGCAAGAGTGTGCAGTGTTTGTCTTCTCTCTCACATCTTTGAATGGAGCAGGATTGGCAGGGTTTGAGTTCATGAATGACAGTGAAACAAGATAACTGAAGGATATTGTTTTAGATCACAGGGCTTATGATTTTGTTTTTTAATCTTGTATCTCTGTTGAGGTGTTTTCCAAAGAAAAGAGACTTATTTCTTTGTTGCAGTGGTTCTGATTTCCTGAGGCTGAGTTTATGGTGAGTTTTACTAAGTCATTATCATTTCCTCCTTTATTTTTTTAGGGAAACTCATTGGCTTCTCACTGAATTTATCATACCATTTTGTTCACTTCCATTTTAATTGGAGCCTAACTACAGTGATAAGTACACAGAATCTTCTGATAAATCAGTACCAGCAGTCATGCTAGGATCTAAGCATGTAATACCATGGAAGAAGGATTCACTTTCAGGTCCAAATTACTTTATTTTTATTAAGCACTAAAAATATTTGTGACTGTATAAAACAAAAAGACAGTGCTTGAATCCAGTCTTCTTCTCACTGGTTGAGACAACAGGCAAATTTTAAAACCGTTGCCTCCAGCTGCCATGAGCAGGGTAGCCAGCAATAAATAGTTTGTCTGTGTAGCAGAAATGTTAAGTCATGGCTTGAAACAGTGATTGAGCACCTGGGAGGACGCCAGGACCAACCCAGGCGAGCTCAAATCTATGCAATGCCGGATTCACTCTTTCATAGACCTTATTCAAGGGTTGGCAGTGGAGGCAGGGGTATTTCTCTGGAGATCCCTGCATACCTGAAGCTTTCTGAAGGTAAGCAGCTTCTTTCCCTCTTTTCTGTGCCCATTACTGTTACATTTGAGTGAATCCTTGATGACCATAGCCTGGTACCTTTCTGCTCTGCTGTCATTGTTGCGCTTTCCATCATGTTACATTCAGTAACTCTATTTCTGTTTCACTGATATTTCCTGCCAACACAGCTAGAAGTTAGGAAGCAAGTGATCTGAGGCAGAATGAAATGCTTGCAATTCTTGCTGTTTTGTTGTGGTCTGTATGCTCTAGTACGAAACAAATATCTTGGTCTGGAGCAGATGTGGTTCTAAGCCTTTTGTGTCATTCACTTCCCAAAGAAGTGTGTTATGCTTCTGGTTTTCCGTTCATTTGCACCTTGCCTTTTTTTGTTAAAGAGCTTAAGAGAGGGGTAGGCCAGGGTGAGAACAGGAGGTAGTTGTATCTGTAAAAAGAAAACAATTATACATAATACGGCCTTATGCAAAGTGACAAATTTTTAGCAGAAATTGCTTAATAGTGGACTGGCAAGAAAGACAAATTGCACAACCTTTTAAGTTGTAGGTCATCTGGAATTAGGAGTCAATTCATTTCCTGTATAGTCATGGCTTCTGGCTGTAGGAATAGTGTATTAATGATATTTAAATCCATTTCATAAAATTGTAGGTTTGGGAGGTCTTTACTCTTTCAGGGATTATGTAAAATTATGTTACCCATTACTGTGCATAATATGTACTGAAAAAATGATACTTAACAGAAGGTGGCACTGTTTTGGCACAATCTTTGAAGAAACTGCAAGTGGATAAACTATTTGCATGTGACCATATTTAGTGTTGTTGTGCTGCTTTGTGTTCATTAGCGTTTTGTCTTATGTATGAATAGAAGTGCAAACTTGGAATTTGACAGCCAGCTGTGTTTCATTTTGCATACATCTTGAATACTCAATAAAAATATAGTTAGTTACTGGAATAACACATAGAATGCTGAAAATAAAGGATATTTTCAGAAGAGATGATAAAACTCAATGGCTCCTGCATACTCCTGTACAGTATGCCTATGGTTCTGCACACTAATATTCCGTGTTTCTGCTGCCTTTGTGCATTCCTGGGCAGCAGAGATGAAGAGTTTCAAGTGCTAAGATGAGAAAAATCAAATTGTTAGACAAAATGCTATTAAAGTAGAAGAGGACTATTGTTCTTGTTTCACTGCTTTCAAATAGGAATCTGGTGAATATCCAGACATGGGATAAAGTATTGAGCCTGAAAGTACTCCGAAGTTACATTCACTATTTGGCACAGCAGTTATTTTCTTTCAGCTAACTTATCCATCAGCCTGAAAAGACTCTCATAAACCTGCTTAGTGAGCAGCTGTTTCCTCTTCCTGATTCCTTGCTTACCTGTTGATTCATGTTCCAGTGCCCAGTCCTCTCCTCCAGCTTCCATTACCATTTGCTTTCACTGTAAGTATGATTCTGCTTTTGATACTTTTTACTGGCTTTGTGCTTTTGTGTATTTTTGTTTTTCTTAAGAATTAAATGTGAATCGAAATTTGGCTTAAAACATTACAGGGGCATTCAGTTGTTGGTTTGGAGGATTAATTGTACACAGGAAAAACTGTAATTTGATAGGCTCCTGATAACGTGATTCGATCATGCTGTGTCAGATATATCTTCATTAGCGGCATAGACGATGGCATCAAGTGCACCCTCTGCAAGTCTGTGAATGACACCAAGCTGAGCAGTGCAGTTGTTATGTGGGAGGGAAGGGAAGCCATTCAGAGGGACCTGGACAGGCTGGAGAAGTGGGCTGTGAAAACCTAATGAGGTTCAATAAGGCCAAGTGCAAGGTGCTGCACTTGGTCAGGGCAATCCCAGGAATTTATACAGACTGAGGGAATCTTCTTGAGAACAGTTCTGCAGAGAAGAACTTGGGGATCCTGGTGGACAAGAAGCTGGACATGAGCCAGCAGTGTGTGCCTGCAGCCAGGGGCCAACTGTGTTCTGGGCTGCATTAAAAGAGGAGTGGCCAGCAGGGAGAGGGTGGTGATTGTCCCCCTCTGTTCAGCTCTTGTGAGGCCTCACCTGGAACACTGTGTCCAGGCCTGGGGCCCCCAGCACAGGAAGGACAAGGAGCTCTTGGAGTGAGCCCGGAGGAGAGCACTGAGATGATCAGAGGGCTGGAGAACCTCTCCTAAGAGGAGAGGTTGAGGAAACTGGGTCTATTTAGCTTGGAAAAGAGAAGGCTCTGGGGAGACCTCACTGTGGCCTTCCTCAATGTTTCCTCTTCCTCTGATTCCTTGCTTACCTGTTGACTCTTCCAGTACTTGAAGAGAGCATATAAACAGGAGGGGGAATGGCTGTTTACAAAGATGGATGGTGATTGGGCAGGGAAGAATGTTTTTATACTAAGATGGGAGGTTTAGGTTAGATATTAAGAGGAAGTTTTTCACTCAGAAGGCGGTGTGATAGTGAAACAGGTTGCCCAAGGAGGCTGTGGATGCCCCATCCCTGGAGGCATTCAAGGCCAGGCTGGATGTGGCTCTGGGCAGCCTGCTCTGGTGGTTGGCGACCCTGCACATAGCAGGGGGTTGAATCTAGGTGATCATTGTGGTCCTTTTCAACCCAGGCCATTCTATGATATTGGAAATGCAAAACTTCAGAGCACATGTAAGTGCCTTTTATGCTGGGATATGCACTTATCACCCTCAAAAGATAAAGCTTAATGGTAGTATTTTTTAAGCCAAATAGAAAGAGATCTTTTTTAAAAAAATCCATGGGCACTTATTGCAGTCTGGGAATTCTGTTGAAGAGGGCTAATAGCTTGTTCTGATGTCTTAGAGTTCAGCTGGGATAGCAACCAGGTTAGCATGGTATAACCAATTGGGTGTTTGTTATTTGTCCCTGCTGACAACTGGTAGGAGAATATCAGCGGTGCTACATAGTAGTACGTGGCTTGCATAGTTTAAAGGCTAGTTTCAGATCTACATAAAGTACCCACATGCTTAGTTAGAATTTAGTAGAAGAACTGTCATTTCGGTGATTGCATTTAAGAAAATTCTTAGTGTATCAGCTTTTGACATCATCTACCGGAGAGACATCTGTTAGAGACTTAAGCCCTGGCATTCTTCTTGAAGTCTTTATGTGCACTACAGCTTTAAGGGAATCATTAAAATACAGTAAAGTTGTATTTCCTGTTTAAATATTAAGATATTTTATTGTTCCAGCCACTTTTCCCTTCTTTTTTAATAGTTTTAAAAGAGAGGTTTCTTAACTTCTTTCTGCAAGCAGTAGCTCAGGATAGGGAACAAACATAGTCTTTTTGCTGAAAACTTGAGTTAAAAAACACAGTGACATTTCCTCTGTGAATTGCGTGGTAGGATTTGAGCTCAAGTCTTTACAGCCTTCAAGTGAAGGTGACTGTGTAAATTTAGCAGCACCAAATTAAGCCCATTTTCTGTTCCTGTGCACCTTGGTAAAGGAAATGTTTAGCTGCTATTTTTACAGGGTCTGCTGTTTTATGATACAAGTTGATTCCACAAAGAGCTGATCTAGAAGTATTGTGAAGAATATAATCCAGAAAAATGGCTTGTACTTTCCCTGATGTGATGAGTCCTTGAGCATTTTTTTCAGCTTATATAGGATCAATAAACCTGTGACATCTTCAGTGACTAAATCTAGCATTGGTATTTTTTAGATGTCAGTGATAGTTGAAGGTGCTGGGCTAGACAGAATGCTGCATGGCATCACCTATGCTATTGGTATTGTACTGAACCTGTAAATAAAGTAATTGAGCTTCAAGTACTGGCAGTTCTTTACACTCCCTTTACAAAAAAGGAAGAAAAATATTGCCAATAAAAAACAGGAAGTTAAGGCTGACCAACTTACCAGAAGAATTGAGTCCCTGTACTTCCCTACCCTAGATAACTTTTTCCAACCTGCTTGCAGCAATGTATCCTGAAACCCTGAAGTTCAGTGGGCAATCAAACTTAGGTTGTCAACTTTGCTGGAAATTGGACAAAGCACGAGTTGCAAAGTGAATTCAGTACTAAGGCTGGTGTTTTACAGCAGCAATGTTCTGATATTTTGATAACTGTAGTAAAAAATCAGTGATATTTGAAGGTACCTATACGTTACTACTATAGGGTAATATAAATCTGTGAAGTGGGCATCCAGATCTTTTGAATTCTGTTGGAAGACTGCTATAGAAGCTTTTATGAAAGTTTTTTCAAGGTGTTTTTTTTATGCTTGTGACTGTTTTCTTCAGGAAAAGTAAATCAGGCGGGAGGAAAAGGAAGGAAGGACAGATCTTCATACTTATTTATAAAAGTTTTTTGTTTTTTTTTTAACCAAATATTTCCGTTTAGTAGGCATTTTGGTAATCTGGTTTGTGTCATACAACAGCATGTATTTTCCACTTTCCACTTTCATTTTTCTCACAGTACAAATAACAGCTTTCCATTTAACCTACCCAGAAGACTATAGTTTGAGCCGGGATTAATCAAGATTAAATAAACAGCCTGTGAAACTAATGTTTGTAGGAGCTGGAAGGGAAGACGGCGTTCTCTACATTGAGCCATTAAAATGGGAACAGTTCTACTGCTGCATCTGCTACTATGGTAGTTGCAGCCCATTTCTTGAAGTCTGCCCTTTTATGCAAAGGTTGATTCAGATGAACTAAGACTGTGGGAAAAGCAAGTGATTTTAAGAAGGTATATGTTTCCTTTTTGCAGTGAACTGTCTCTATGTCACATCAGGCGAAGAAATTTCCTACATTAAAGCATAGTACTGAGAAGCAAATGTACTGAGAAGCATAGTACTGAGAAGGGGCAAAGAAGAAATTTTTTGGGAAAGGAAATTGCCTGCAGTGTGAAAAAACCTGTCTGATTTTTTTTTTTCTGGTCAGTGTCATTTAATTAGGTGTGTAGCTTTCTCAGTAAATAATCTCTGAACATGGATCTTAGCGGTGGAAATAAAAGCAGACAAATGGTCTCTGTAAACCCTGCTGAGCTGCACATTACAGGGTGGGGGAAGGGCTGGCTGCTGTCAAAGCAGTAAACGAAATACAAATTGAATGAGCACGTAAACGAAGATGAGAAAATTAAAATTCATTGAAGGATGAGCAAATTGAGTGAAAGAATACTAAGAACGGTTTTTGCACTACTGAAACAAAGATGTTGATATACTAAGTGGTTCTTAAAGCAATTTTGCACTATAAATTGTGCTATTTTCATTTTTTAATTCTAGTCTGCCATGCAGGCTGAAGGTGAACGGAAGATGTTAAACCTGGGCTGCTGAGATTGAGCAAATGGAAAGAGAAATAGTAAAGGCAAATAATTTGTTTAATTTGCACTTAACTATATTTTGATGCAGTCATAGTTGAGGTTTTGATTGACCAGAAGGTAACTTCTTTGAATGGAAAGACTGAGTGTCAATCATCTGTTTTGCATCAATTTTTCTGTATAGTTTTGTCAGGGTCTTGGCTTTATCCTGTGTTCAGTGGAACTTGGAGAAATAGCTGCTGTGATGTTAGAAATTTCTGTCTGTATTTGTATTCCTTATAGAGAATGAAGAAAATGAATGTTTCCTACAAGGGAATTGTGAAAATACTAAATAGTATGAGGAGGATCATACAAGAATTTTCTGCTTACAATGTAAATCTGCAAACATTGTGTGATAGACTTACTACTTCTCACAATTCCATCAAAAGATGGAATTAAATAGATCTGAAATGTGCAAGGAAATTGCCTGCAATGTGGAAAAACCTGTCTGATTTTTTTTTTCCTGGTCAGTGTCATTTAATTGTGCGTAGCTTTCTCAGTAAATAATCTCTGAACATGGATGACATCTTAATCTGGGATTGAGACTATAGCAATACCTTCCTTCTTAAAAAGGGAATAAAGACTGTAGGAGTTGAGGTTCATTTTGGATTGTCTCATATATGCTTATAGAAATCATGCAGAAAGGCTTCAGGCAGGCAGAGTTGTATCAGGTGTGCTCCTCACTGCTGTTTTGCTTTAGCTACTGCATAAAAAGACACATTGTGACTCTGCGGACAAAAGACCTGGAATCAAGTTGTAAGGGGTGCATGATCTGGCTTTCTCAGAGTGGAAGCCTACATTGTGATGCACCAGTTACATGAAATGACGAATCAGAAGTGACAGCATGCAGTTCAGCATCATTCACAACCCTCTGAAATTGATTTGGAGTTTGCAGTTCTGCTTTAAAGTGAATTAGCATTCTTTTTTTTTTTTTTTCCCCACCATTTTTAACCATATTTCAGTGAATGGTGAAATAAGTATCAAAGGTGGAGAAATAGAAAAATAAAATATTCCAAGTGGGAAGGGACCCATGAGAATCATTAAGTCCAACTCCTGGCTTTATGCAGGACCACCCAAAATTTAACCCAATGTCCGAGAGCATTGTCTAAATACTCACTCCCTGAACTCTGGTAGGTTCAGAGTGTGGGCACTCTGTGCCCACTGCCCTCTAGTGCAGAACCTGTCCTTAACCCCCAGCTGCCCCTCCCCTGACAGCCATTCATGCCATTCCCCTGAGCTCTGTCACTGTCACAGAGAGCAGAGCTCAGCGCTGCCCCTCTTCTCCTTGTGAGGAGCTGCAGCTGCCAAGAGGCCTCCCCTCAGCTCCTGGGCTCTGGGCTGAACACATCCAGAGATCTCAGTTACTCCTCAAACATCTTGCCCTTCATACCCTTCGTTATGCATCATACAGCCCTCCTCTTGATGCTGCCTTAATAGTTTTGCATCCTTACATTGTGGCACTCAAACCTGTACCCAGAGCTCAGTGTGAGGCTACACAGAGCAGAGTGGGACAACTTGCTCAGCTGATAGTTCAGAGCCTGATGACCCCACAATACAGCTGGCCCTTTTGGCTGCATGGGAGCACTGCTGGTTCATACTTAGCACAGCACCAACAAAAACCCTCAGATGCCTCTCTGCAAGGCTGCCTTCCGGCCATTTGTCCCCCATCCTATACATCCATCCAGGATTACACCTCCTGGGTACAGAATCTGGCTGGTATGTGTATTCCATCTTTATTTTGGGGCAGTAGATCCCAAATTTGAATGGAATAAGGGCTGTAAAAAAGGGGGGAGAAAGTCCCTTGGGGAAAAAAAAAAAAAAGTAGAGCTTGAATTTTTTTTTTTTTTTTTTAAATACAAATTTTCAAGCAGATGTAGTTGCATGCTACCCCCCGCAGCTCTCTAGCAGAGTCAGAAGCAATACCGGTGCACAGCACTGGAGCCGCTCTCGATGTATATATCCCGAGGAAGCCATGAGCCCTGGAAGGCATCAAGTGAAGCAGCAATGGAGCCTCCTAGCCAGGCAGCAATATGGCGGCTGGGGGCAGCAGCAGGGTGCTCGCTGCCCAGACCCTGAGCCACACGTTGAGCAAAGCCACACAGCAGTGTGGTGCCTCCAGCCAGCAGCAGTGGGGGGTTACCAGGTTGGGCTCCACTGAGGTGCAGGGAGCGGGCCGCCATCTCTAGTAGCCCCGGGCCTGGGACCCCAAGGACCTCAGGGGTGAAGAGGGCCTCAGCACAGCGGGAGTACTCATCCTGAAGGAGGGGCCCCATGGGCTCAGGGTGGGCACCGGGCGGGTGGCAACAGCAGCGTGTCTCCTTCAGGTGCTGGAGTGTCTCTGCTGGCAGTTGCAGTCCGCGGGCTGCCAGCATCTGGCCCAGGTAGAATGTGAGATCATTCCCGGCCAAGTCCAGTCGGAAGGAGGCATGGGGCAGCACGTAGCCATCCTGTACTGCCACTGCATAAGATGTGCCGGCACCAGAGCCCAGCACCACACCGGTGGTACAGCCATAGGAATAGGCAACAAGCACAGAGCGGGGCATCACAAGCATGGCTGGCACACCAAAGCCCTCGAAGAGGAGCTCGGCCACCTTCTCACGGTTGACGATAGGGGACAGCGGGGCATCGGTGGCCAGCACAGCCAGCTCCTCAGGGCACACAGCCAAATCGTGGTAGAATATGCGATGCCACAGCTCTTCCAACCCGTCCCAGTCAGTTACCACACCGTGAGTGAGAATGGAGCCATCCTTGACCTGGCTGGGCACCACTGATCGTGGCCTCTCATCCCCGGCCAGCCCGCTCTTGGTGTGGCCCATCCCTGTGTCAATGACAACAGCACAAAGATCCTTGTACCTTGCTGCTAAACCAGACATCATCACACGTCTGGGGCTGGCTCACTGCAGGGTGGACTGTGAGTTGCCAGAGTGCCTGCCTGCATCACAGCTGGAGGGAGGTGACATCACTGATGGCAGAGAATAGAGAAGGGCAAGAAGGAAGACAATGATAATTACAGGTCTTTCAATCAGTGCCTGGTAAAATTATGGAGAAAATGATGATGGGAGCTACTGAAAAACACCTGAAGGAAAATGTGGTCATTGGTCGTAGTCAGCATGGGTTCGTGAGGGGGAAAGTCCTCTTTAAGTAACTTAACTTCCTTTTATGACAAGGTCACCCAACTAATTGACAAAAGGATTATAGTAAATAGGATAACATCAGGTTGGCAGCTAGTCACTAACAGGGAACCCCAGAGTTCCATTCTCTTTGGTGCTTTCTTGAACTGGATGTAGGACTAGAAGGTGTTTTGAGCAAGTGTGCTGATGATACTAATCTGGGAGGAATTGTTGACTCTGTCAAGGGTGGAGAGGCCTTACAGAGAGATCCAGACACATAAGAAAGCTGGACAGTCTCCAACTGCATGAAGTTTAACAACAAAAAGTGCTGGATTTTGCACCTTGGGAGGGACAACCCTGGCTGTACATACAGACTGGGAAATGAGGTGACTGCTGTGGAGCAGCCCTACTGAAGGAGATTTAGGGGTCTTCATCAATAGCAAACTGAACGTGAGTCAACAGTGTGCCTAGGCAGCAAGCAAGGCAAACTGTACCCTAGAGTGCATCAGGTCCAGCACTGTGAGCCAGACAAGGAAGGAACTGTCCTGCTCTATGCTGCACTGATGCAGCCTACTCTTGAGTACTGTCTGCCGTTTTTGGCACCACAATACAAAAATGACATAAAACTATCAAGAGAGTGCAGAAAGGAAGACTGCAGAGAGGATTAAGGATCTGGAAGGGAACACACATGAGGAGCAGCTGAGATCCCTTTGTTTGTTCAGCCTTGGGAGTAGAAGACTGAAGGGATTCTTCATCATGGCCTGTGGTTTCCTTATGAGAGGAAGTGGGAAGACAGGTGCTAATTTCTTCTTTCTGATGACCAGTGGTGGAGCCTAAGGGGATGGAATGGAGCTGCAACAGTGTAAGATCACATTCTGTGCTGGGTAGCTGTGTATGCAAAATATAAATCATAGCTCGAGTCCAATAAAACTAGAAAGGCCACAGCATCTTGTTGTCCTGTCTTTAACTGTCAATCTCAAACTCTCAATCTCAAATCTCAATCATCAAACGATGAAGAATTATACAGTAAAGGTACAGCATGGAAATACAGGCTTAAAGTCCCTGGGTGTGTAGCCCTCACTACCAGCAGCAGCAGCAGTGAGAGAGGACTTTATATGAGAATTCCAGCTATGATACATGCTAAAGTATGTACTATACTCTACCTGATCATTGTTTAAGCATATATCTCAAAGGGTGGGAGTTGAGGTGAAGGTACAGACTCTTTGATGGTGAGCAGCAACAGAATGGGAGGCAATGGGCACTCACTGGAACAGAGGAAGTTGCATACTAACACAAGGAGTAACTTCTTTACTGTTTGGAACAGGCTGCCTAGAGATGTTGTGGAGCCTCTTCAGGAGATAATCAAGACCCACCTGAATGCCTGCTTGTCTGACTGCCACAGGGAACCTGCTTTAGCAGAGGTGTTGGACTCAATGATTTCTTTTTTCTCCATTTCTCTCAGGTAGAACTGTGAACATTTTCAGACTGATTTCAAGTCCTCCTACAGTACTATTAGACTTTATGAAAGTTGTAGCTGAATCGGTACAGCTGTATTCAGAGTTAAATCTTCACTGTTACGGGAAAACAAGTAGCAGAAAATAAAGAACATAAGACTGAACCTCTCCTACCACTCCTCACAGTCTACACCTGTTAAAATTATGATAGCACCTACTTTTGTGGAGCTGATAGCTATCAAGACCTCTGCCTGCTTAGCCTCGCAAAGAGCTACAGTAGACAGGTGTGACATAAAAAGATTTTGCTTGACTTCTGGTGAAGTGAATAGTGTTGAACAAAAATAACTGTTTTCTTTAGATTCCAGCATTAAGCAGTTTATCTCTGTTCACTATAGCTGAGCTTGTATAAAATGTAATTTTTTCATGCTTAGTCTCCCTCCATGCCTGAAACACCTTTAGAAAGAAAGGAATTCATGGTCTCATAAAAGCTGTAGTTGGAATAACTGTCAGAAGTCAAATCATAAATCACTGTTAGCAGGAAGGCATACTTGATGCAAATGAATTACATGGGCAGAGGGCTGAAATAAGCCAACTGAAGGTATTAACAGAAGCCTCCATAAATAGAAGTTGTTGAAAATAAACACTGACAAAATAAAACTTAAATAGATTATTAAGAAATGAAATACATAATTCTGATGAATTATACATGATTTTTTTTCTCTTCCTTACTTACCTCCTTTCCCCACCATCAAGCACCTCAGTAAGCCCTACATTGTGTGGTGGACATGCCTTAAATTCCCAGCAGGCCTCTTTACAGAAGGACAAAGGAGTTGCACCACTGAATGTTGTGTCCCTGTGTTTTTGGTGTCTATTTTAGTAGTGGAACTAGGTTTGTACCCTTGACATTCCCTTCAGTGTCTCAGATGAGTTGTGTGTCCATAAAGGACATCATTAGTTGGTATGGAGCTGCGTTAGCAAGAAACAGGAAAAAACAAGTTTCAGGATTTGTCTGCTCCTTTTATGTGGTGGTTTTCAGTTTTTTATTGGGCTTCTAAAAAACTATCTGGCTTTCTGTCATGGTTTTATGATGTTTGGTTATCAGTATTCCACATCATAACATCATGTAGTGCACTGGGAATTGAAGAGTTAATGCTCCAAATCGGGATACCTGTCCCAGAAGAGAAGAACTACTGCATGCCCCAGAGGACTGCTTGCTGTTCTGTTATCATTTCTGCTCAGGGGGAAAAGATGAAACGCCTTCGTAGGACACCTGATGGCTCTTTTGGTCATCTGTCCTGTCTCTGTTGCGGGTGCCATCTCGTCCGTCACAGCATTAGAGTAAGGTCTTTGGTTTTCAGACAGTCTCTCATAATGTTTGATTTATTAGCTTCAACTCTGATTATACTGTATTATACTGTATTATAGTGTGTTATCTTGAATTTGAATATGTTGTTTAGTAAGTTGGTTTGTTTCTCCTCAGATCATTGCCGCTGATCTGTCTTTAGGCCCATCTCTGTACACTTTTCCCTTTTTTTTCCCCCCTTTCTTCTCTTTCCTGGGTGTGGATCTGTGGGTCCCTCCACTCTGCTAGTCATGGAACCAGGCCAAACCAGCCTGTAAACAGTTGACATTCTTGTTGGAGAATGCCTTGACACTTTCCTAGCCCCTTTTTATAAAACTCTTAATGCAGATCAACATTCTTTTTTATTTTAAAAATTAGCCACATTAAAAAGTACCTATTTATTTAACCAAATGTTATCAACTACTGTTACAGCATCGTGGTATAAAACAGCACTGAAACTCATTCTTTACTTGTGTAGAAATCTTTGTGTAGAAAGCTTTGTGTAGAAAGCTTTGTGTAGAAAAGACTGCTAGTGCTTTAGCAGAAAAATAGGAGCAGGAAGATCAGTAGAGGATGACTCTTGTGAAGGAAGTTCAGGAAGGAAAGCGAAAGAAAAGTAACAAGTGAGTCAAGTGAGACTGAGAGGGACAAGAATCTCTTCTTAGCATCAGTGCCCTCTTCTAATCATCAGCACTCCTCAAAACCTTCGTACGTTTCATGTCTCAAAACAATCTTCAAATAGGTAGGCAAAATACATATACCCTAAATAAAAACATTCACTTTCAAGATGTGTCAAAAATGAGCCTCCTCTCACACCATTAGGCTGAGCAGCACGGGCACCAAGCTGCGCTGACCCCCTTCAGAGCAGGGTTGCATCTACCCCTCCTGCCACACTGCGGTCACAGAACCCTGGTGAGTAATACCTGGCACTTGCAAGAACAATTTTCCCTCCCTTGCTGCAAAGACACTTTGCAAAATGTCCGTCAGTGAGCTTGGGAAGCATCGCCATTTTCATTTTGCAGCTGGAGGAACAGATGCAGAAATGACGTCTGAGAAGTTGGTGGCAGGGCTCAGAAGCTACTTCAGTGAAGCCTAGGTCTCAGGACTTTGAGCTAAGCAATACTTTGTTCTGAAGATGTCTCAGTATTCACATTTGCTTTTTTGTATAACAGGTATTTAATTTCAATTATATGAAAAGAGAAACAGTACAGAACGTGAGCAAGTCAATTATATAAATAAGGCTGATTTCTTCAAGAAAATAGAAGGCATTTATTGCTGAGAGAAACAGAATACTGAGTAAGCTGGGAGCGTGAATATTATCTGACTTCTGCAAACAGATCTTGTTAGATTGGCAACTGACACAAGCAATCTTCTGCTGCATTTCCAGATTTGGGTTTTGTCTGTTCAGGACTGTCTTCCATGCATTCATGTTTTAAATTATATAATTTCTTGAAAATAAAAATAGCTTTGTTAAACTTAGACATTCAACAAACTATGTCAGATTGCTCAAGGCAGGAGAAGTATTTCTTTGCATAATAAAAGTTCCTGAGTACTGAACAGTTTAAGAGTTAAAACTTACATGCTGTCCTGAGATTCCTCTTGTGTTCACCAGTTTTGCTCTGGATAAAATGGATGCTGCTGCTTACCCCATTTACTTTTTTTCTCACACTGAAATTTGCAACCACAGTAAAAACCTAAGTCCTACATCCGAATTCTTCTATCAGACTGAGATGTTGATCAACTTGGAGAAGTATCAGTATTTAATGTTTTCTTATGAGTGCACGGCTGGCCAGCAGTCTATGTCATGAACTTTGTGAACAGCCTCACTGAAGGTAATCAAGATGCTTCCATACAGTGGGATATAAAGAAACAGTCTGCTTCACTAGTGAGTAGACTGCCATTTCTAGAGAATTCCACAGGCCACAGACTGGGTGAAGCTGCAGGCCTGAACTATCAAGTCCTGTGGGCAGGGGCTAGCCCAGGGACCACCTGCATGCACTTTGCAAGCAGTAGGAGGTGGAGGTGGGCAGCACGTGGGAAAGCACCTGGCAGAGGCTAGCAGCTGGGAGTAGCTCTGCACTTCCAAATGTGTCAAATTAAGGAAGTGAGACAACAACCATGTGGAGGAGTTTGATATGGATGTGTCTAAGACATTATCATAATAAAATATCACATTAAGGCCCTACTTAATGTCACATTTTCAGGGGGGAAAAAAAAGAAAGATAAATTTTACAAAACTGCCCAAGCTGTAGGCATCAGCAACTTCCTATGCCATCTTCCTGAGGGTATTTTAGGCCTGAATCACTGACAAAGGAGTGCAAGTTGTCCGACAGGCACTGTATGCCCCTCAGCTAATGAGTGCATCTGGCTCTTAATCCCTTCATGGTACTAAAACATTCTTCACATCATCAAAGAATATTGTTCTGTTTAGTCCAGACAGAAGCATGTGACAAGGAGATTCTCACTTGCTGGAATAGCGCACTGAAGAAGGGTCCCCTTCCTTTGTGCTGTCACTTAGCTGTGTCGGTAGCTTTCCTCTGCTCACTGCTGCAGTGTTGCAGTAGGTTTGTAACTGTTGGTGGTTGCTGGCCTGACAGCAAAATAAGAGACAACTGGAAAAGATGTGGAGGAAGGAACAGCAGCAAAGTTTTCTGCTGCACTTTGCTACTCGCTTGAGGAGAAATTCTGAAGCTACACACACATTTTCTTCAGTATTTATTTTCTCTTGAGAAGTAGAAGCATGAAATGAGAGAAAGTCATCCTGCAGCATCAACAGCCTTGCAGTACTATTGTCTTGGGGCCGTATCAAGACAGTCAACTCTAAAGAGGCTTCAGGTGTCTCTTTCCTGATAGCGACATTGACAATGACAAAAGAAAAGAAAACAAATTACAGCAGAACCACTAGTGCAAAAGGGAATAAAGAAGAATACTCCTATTATGCTACAGGGACTGAGTGATGATGTAATAGGAGATTGTGATTCTCCAAGCCTCATGAAACTGGTTCTCTGTTACGCATGCATGCATGCACAAAGATTTGATGTAAATCTTTGTCAACTCAGTAGATAATACAATAATCAACCAGAACTTGAATGATCAGGGTCCAGCAATCTATTTTTGAACAGATACAGAAGGCTGTTCAAATTACATCTGCTGTTGTATATGAATGAATTCAGATGTCCTAATAACTTTTAGGGCACTTCTACATTTTGATGTCTTTATGTCACAGTGAGTTTATCTGACATTCAAAGAAGAATATACAAATGTTTTTTTTTCTTATTGGCAGCTGAGAATTGAGTATTTTTCTTTTCAAAACAAGTCTGAGACATTAAATAAATATCCTACATGCAGGGTGGGATAATAAGCATTCTCAGTATAGGTTGGCAAGAAAGCAGTCCTGAATTCTGGGCCAAAGCTAGAAGTTACTTGCAAAATTTGATGATAAAGCTACATGCATAAATCTGTATTAGGGAATCCAGGGCTGTTTGAAAGAGACAGAAAGCCTTATACCTTCCAGCCAAGTTTTGTAGGTGAGTTGCTGAAGTCTGGTGCAAGACGTGTTAACTGCGTATCAGAGATCTGAAATAGTTTAGAAGAACAGTTTCTACTTGAACAAGCAGCATAGTGC